TTCCAGTAAAGCCAATCGACAGCTGGTCAAGAGGAATCCGCCATCGTCTTCTGGTGGTGGAACCGACCTTGGAAGCTCTTCACTCAACACTTTCACTTGAAATAGAAGTAAGCTCAACAATTATGAAACAAGCTATTCCTCGAAACCCCACTTTTCTTCGCGTCACGCTAAACTAAACAGTGTGAATATCTCTCATAAAACGACTTTTGTCAACTTTGTCGGTCTGTTGAGGCGATTGCGTCTTTGCGTAATGTCTACAAATGGTGTGAAGAGTGTGATTTTTGCCGAGCTTATGACAGGCCTTGAAGAGGCGATTCTACGTGTGCTCTTTACTCGGCGACCTCGTCTACAAACCGGCTCTCTGTTCGACGAGGCAGTCTGGAGGAGGCGCGCTGCCGATCGGCGCCAATCCGCTGCAAGCACGATGCGCCGGACCAGTCGAGTCCCGACGGCTCAACTCCAACCGATCAATGCGGCGCAAATGCAAGTGGCCAGTTGAACCGGAGTCTGCTGTACCCTGCCGCCTCGTCGCCGACAGAGCGCAAGTGGAATTTGCTGTCGAGAGGCATTCGGAGCGCGTGGCGACCGGCTGATGGATGAAAACGAGAAGGAGACGAAAGAAGAGATCGGCAAGAATACTCTTCTCTACCCGCTGATTCGAGTAAGTGGACGAGACCACCTTTTTTCGCACACAATGCGACGCCTTAAACCTGCAAACTAGGCCACATTTGTAGACTCGTTTGTTGCCCGTCCAAAAGTGTTCATGCAGTTTGTGGAGGACTCCTTCCACTTGCCCCGATCCGCGACCGCAGTCGGTTTTGGCGCTTATTCGACGCCCATTTTGGCCTTCTCGAGCAAACAACTCATCCGGTCGTCTTGACGAAGCTTCTACAATTTACGACGAGTCAACTGTACCGTCGCGAGGACAAGAGACATGGCTCCAGCTTCACCACGTAACAAAGCAACAAGTTCAGCGGAAGGAAAAGTTGGTTGGAAGGAAATGGTGAATTAGTTGTAGTTGGAAACCGTGGAAGAATTGCGTTGAGATGGAGCGGAGACTTGGATTCTACCAAGCAGCAGTCACCGGCTCACTGTTCTGCCGTTTTGATGAGCCCATGACGGGCTTTTTTCGTCTGTTCTGCCGTGGCACAAATCGTGAGAGAGAGAGAGACAAATTATAATTAACGAAAAAAACCAACAAATTTCGCCATTCTAATGATGATTTCTCTCACTGACGACATTCAATCCGGCGGGATAGGATATAACTTAAGCTATGAATCCTTTTCAACCAACTTTTCCTATAAAATGAAGGGTCATATTCATAAATGCATCGCTATGAAATGCTTCGAAACCCAGTTCTCTCTAGCTAGAATCTTCTTCGGTTGCCTCATGACGACAGCACTCGCTGTCAAGGACAGTCACTCTTCATATCCAGCACCGGCTCGGTCGTCTGGCCTGCAAA